CTTTTTGCTAATTATATTAAAAGATACATTAAAAATACATTCTAAATACATTTCTTTGAATTGATTTATTCCTGATTAAATTATCATTATGCACACATTAAGATAAGTTGGACTCCTAATTGCATTGGATATAAGGCTTAATTTATTTAATGCAAACAACCAGTTTAAATAACTAATAGAACGCTATTTAATTTCCACAAAAGTAATCATTATCATCTTTTAACCAAACCGACCAAGAGCAGAAAGCTTCCATGGAATTTAATTTCACTAGGACTTATCACATAAGCTCTTGCCTAATTTATGGCTAACTCCAAATCCTACTATAACTAAATAATAAGGGAATCATGATATGGATAATGACAAGCCTAATTGCTACGTGAATTAATCCCCAAATCTTGATCGCTCTAACGTAATTTAGTCCAAATTAACTTTATCTAAATATACATAAAATTAATTATAATCTATCAGATGAGTCTTATATTGTTACAGTAATATGGTCTAAATTGATAACTAATTTTATTTACTAAGTAGTTATTATTACTGGCTTATAATTCATCATTTAATTCGAACTTCGAAAAGAGCCTAATATTGATAGGAAAATCAACTCCACCAATAGTTAACCATTTTGACATAATTAAATAAAAGTATAAATTTATATTTGTTTCCACTTTGTTTCCTCAACTATAACGATATTCATATAGATCCAAATTAGCTTTTAGGCATCGCTAATTTACTTGCATAAAAACTTGATTAAACCTAAAATTTCTAGAGCCATAAACTTTCAAGGTGTTACAATCTCACCCCCTTATAAAATTTCGTCCTCGAAATTTTTTTCTTATCCAGGTGAAAAGTCTGAGGTACAGGACCTTGATCTCATCTTCTCTAGACTTCTAAAATTTTATCTTCTTCCCAAAGCATCATATTGTCGCATAAACGTTCCTTATCCAATCCGCCATTAGGATGGCATAAAAAATACTTCATTTCTAAAAGGTATATGTTAGCTATAAATTCGTTTCTATTCATTTCTATCTTGACCTCTATCTATTTGCTTGTATTAAGTGTACTGCCACTAGAATAGTAACTTCTAGAACACTACTGCCTTCTTCGCAACTAGTGGCAATGAAAATAGGGTAAACAAGGAATGAACAGCTCCTAAGCATATAAGAACATAGGCAAGTAATTCAAATATAGTTAGATTACCTGCCGTCATGTCCTAATTCTCAGTTGCCTCTTGTTGGGTTAAAGCAAAGACTCTAGCTGGTCCCTTTTTGCTTTGATCGTTGTCCCTCTTTGGTGGGGGTTCCTGACAATTGGTAGCAATATGACCTTGCTTTCCACATCGATAGCATACATTATTTCCATACAAACACTCGCCTCTATGAGCCTTATTGTACTTAGGACAAGGAGTAAGAACACTATTCGGCTTGTTTGACTCTAACCGCCTTTCAAAACTAGCCCTCTTATTTTGTCCATTTCCTTTACCTTCGTTCGTCCCATTCCATTTCCTCTTTCCTGAAAATTCGGTATTTTCTTGAGTTGTTTGATCGAGTTCTAGTCGATTTGCAATTGCTTGAGCTCGTTGTAGAACTTGAATGTACGTGGTAAATTCATGAGATGCTATGATTCCTCCAATTTCTGGGCGTAGTCTGAGCTCGAACCTTCTAGCTTTCTTTTGCTCTGTATTCACTAGATGCACTGCATACCTAGAAAGTTGTTCGAACTTCCTCTCATAATCAACCAATGTCATTTTTCCCTGCTTAAGTTGCAGAAACTCTGTCTCCTTACGATCTCTCAGGGCTTGTGGAAAGTATTTTCCCATCACCTTCTCTTTGAATCGTGCCCAGGTGAGGTTACGTTGTTGTGCCTCAGTCCTAGTCCGTGAAACGAACTCCCACCAGTGGCCAGCTGCATCAACTAGCATGAACTCTGCACATAAAATCTTTTGCGCATCAGTGCAAGAGAGATGCTTGAAAATTCGTTCCAAACCCCTTATCCATTCCTCGGCCGCTAGAGGGCCAGTTATCCTATTAAAGGTAGGGGGCTTGTAACGACGAAACTGTTCCACAATTGAGTTAGTGTTGTTAGTGTTTACACTAGCAGGGCCAGCCTGTGCTTGTTGTCCGCCCAAATCTTGTACCGCCCTTAGCAAATCCCTGATGATGGTAGCTTGATTTTGTTGTTGTCTCGACATTTTCTTAACACAAATAAAATTTTAATTTAGAAAAAAAAATTGATAAAACACTCAAATATTATTAATAATCTTTGTAATAATAAATTTCCAAATCCTTACATATAGAAAATTTGCTCTTTAAAAAAATAATAATAATAAAATCAGATAAATAATTAAATAATCAAACTTTTTCTAGGCAAATAAATAACACTTATTTCTAATCCCAGTGGATCCTAAAAACCGTCTTTTTATGGAGTCTCGTCATCCGAAGTAATGCATGACTCGGGCTCCGAATCCATAACCCAATCAATGAAATTTTGTGGTTGGACTTCTTGCTCAGGGTCTTCTAGCTCTGGTTCGATCTCCTCCTCTGGGTCCTCCTGTGACGCCCCGAACCTAAGCTTCGAGGGCCACGAACTTTACATAAAAACTTTTGCTTTTGGTACATGTAATTATTCTTAAATAGGAATACTACATGTTAAAAACTTATTTTTATAAAACTTTATGGCCGATAAAAGTGCATGCCAACATGAAATTTAAACATTGTAAATATGGCCTCGGCACTGTCAAGTTTAGTTGAGGCAGCAAACTTCGGCAGATTTTATAAAATTCATCCCAACTCCGTTTCATATGAAATTTGTGGCATTAGAAATATAATTTCAATTATTTTTCTAGGTTAAAGTATGAAAATTTTCCAAGATCATATGATATAGACGTTTTACTGAAAACAGTGAAGTATTACACAGGGAATCCAGATTGACCTTTGGACGTTAAAACCTTGATAAATCAGACCATAGATATCCAAATTGAGTGATTTCTTCTGCCATACTTAGAAAACTCAAAGGGGAAAACGGACATATTTTTATAATTTCAAATGGACGTTTATAGAGTTAGAAACATCATTTTGAAATTGACTCCAGAAACTGTCCCGTTTCTGCCTTTTGTCACTTGCAAGGTAAATAAACTATAAAAACGTCTCTTAACATAACATGAAAGATGTAATTACAAAATTTACTATTAATACCATAATACATCATTCCATGTTCATATTTTTACATAATACCATAAGAAAAATAGATGTAAAAACTGCCATCAAACAAAACACACAAAAGAAAACTTTCGGTACAAAACTTCGTTGTCCTTAATCCATCATCGCGTAAGCCAACTAACTTCCATCAATTCAAATGATCATGGATCTGAAAAGTTTAGCATAACATACTTTGAGTATAAGGAAATACTCAGTAAGATACCATGCTTGGATTTTTATCATGATAATACAACACAAAAGAATACAATCAAACCCATACTTGCATATTCCGGCTTGCCGGTGCCCTTCGGACTTGTCCTAAGGCATAAATAGATATCTAACTTTGTGGACTTGTCCACCATAATCATATTATGGTTTTTCATGCATAACTTAAGCATAAATATTTCCATGAAAATCATAACTCTTAAGCATGAAAGTATCTTACCGTAAAACTTGATGATCTTTGTTTGAAATGAATTGAAAGTGCTAAACTTTCTTCCTTCTTCTTTCTTTTCTAAATTTCGATTTTTGCTCTCTTTTTAAGTGTATAAGTGTTTTGTAAAATGAAGGAAATATCTCTATGGCAATGGATATGGATGTATTTATACTTATATAAAGATAAGAATAAAAGCTTGATATTATTTTTTTTTCTTTCCCCCGCCTCCCCCCCTTTCCTTCTTTTTTTTTTTTTTTTTTTCTACCTTTACACATGTTTGGTCTATGATCCAAATGTATGGTGGTGATGGATAACAAGTGGGG